AACTATGTATGTAAAAAAAAAAAAATTTCTGTATGGGAGACTAACTTGAAACGTAAACTTCATTTAATTACAACAATAAAATAAATAAATAAATATAATAAAAAAAAAGAAAGGTGATCCAAAAGAATGTGGAAATTATTGTGATATATACAATATTATTAATATCACACACAAGTAAAATTTTGCTGAAGATCATTTAAAAGCAGTTGCAGCAGTACATGGGCATGGAATTGCCAGAAATTCAAGCCAAATTCAGAAGTGGACGTGGAACAAGGGATATCTTTGTTGATGTCAGATGGATCCTGGCTGAAAGCAGAGAATACCAGAAAGACGTTTACCTGTGTTTTATTGACTATGCAAAGGCATTTGACTGTGGGGATCGTAACAAATTATGGATAACACTGGAAAGAATGGGAATTCCAGAACACTTAATTGTGCTCATGAAGAACCTGTACGTAGACCAAGAGGCAGCCGTTCAAACAGAACAAGGGGACATTGCGTGGTTTAAAGAAAAGTGTGCATCAGGGTTGTATCCTTTCACCATACTTATTCAATCTGTATGCTGAGCAAATAATCTAAGATGGACAATATAAAGAAGAATGCAGCATCAGGATTAGAGGAAGACTTATTAACAACCTGTGTTATGCAGATGACACAACCTTGCTTGCTGAAAGTGAAGAGAACTTGAAGCACTTACTGATGAAGATCAAAGACCACAGCCTTCAGTGTGGATTACACCTCAGTATAAAGAAAACAAAAATTCTCAAAACTAGACCAATAAGCAACATCATGATAAAAGGAGAAAATATTGAAGTTGTAAAGGATTTCATTTTACTTGGATCCACAATCAACGCTCATTATAGCAGCAGTCAAGAAATCAAACGACGCCATCGCATTGGGCAAATCTGCTACAAAAGACCTCTTTAAAGTGCTGAAAAGCAAAGATGTCACTTTGAGGACTAAGATGCGCCTGACCCAAGACATGGTGTTTTCAATCGCCTCATATGCAAGTGAAAGCTGGACAATGAAAAAGGAAGACCAAAGAAGAATTGATACATTTGAATTGTGGTGTTGGTGAAGAATATTGAATATCCATGGACTGCCAGAAGAAGGAACAAATCTGTCTTGGAAGAAGTACAGCCAGAATGCTCCTTGGAAGCAAGGATGGCCAGACTTCATATCAGGTACTTTGGACATACTATCAGGAGGGACCAGTTCCTGGAGAAGGACATCATGGTTGGTAAAGCAGAGGGTCAGCAAAAAAGAAGTTCCTTAACAAGATGTATTGACACAGTGGCTGCTACAGTTGGCTCAAGCATAGCAATGATTGTGTGGATGGCGCAGGACCGGGCAGTGTTTCTGTTGTACACAGGGTCCCTATGAGTTGGAACTAACTTGAAGGCACCAAACAGCAACAATAGCTTTATCACAGATTTCAGGGTTAATATCCCCCTCCAGCCCCAAAGTCTCTGCTCAAGAAAATCTTGATACAATTTGTAGGTTGACAAGGAGAAAGAATCAGTATCATTTGATGACTAAGGTTAAGCTATTTTTATCATCAAATAACTGACCAGTTCTTCTCCTATAGTCAGGATATTCCTCAAAATAATCAAGCTTATAACCTTTAGTTAATTAGTCCCCAAAGCTTGTATATCATATTTTTAAAAATACACTGTATTTTGATGGTTAATATAATTTAATATATGTATATATGTAAAAGTGGGCATTCAGTATCCTTCTATGTCAGCATTTGACAGGCGATTACAACTTACCTAAAGGGACAGAAAGAGAATACTGTAGTTTTGATGTTATTACAATCAATATTGTCCTTTTTTTTTTTAAAATAACAAAGAGTATCAATTCTCCTTTCCAGGACTTTATTTTTGTTTTATTCTTTTTGGGGGAATGGAGGCTCTCTTTATTAAACTAAACAACTTTGGTTGAATGGTAACCAAAAAAAATTAGATAATTAATTTTGTACCCGCCAATCTGTACTGTTAATAATGTCACAATAAAAGCAATGAGGGTCTTAATGTATTGAGGGCCAGTTACTCTACATTCATCATTTCCTTGAATACTTCCAACAGTTGTTGAGGTAGATACAGCAATGGATCCCCTTTTAGAGACGTGAAAACTGAGGCTCAGAAATGTTACTGACTTATGCATGGTCACATATTTAGTAAGGAGTAGAGCAGGAACTGAACCCTTATCTATCTGATTACCGAGCCCAAATTCTTAAGAACTATTCAAACTACCTCCATCTTTCTTCTTCGTAACTGTATACATGGCAATATTAAAAATAAAGTGCTCACGGGTATCCCAGTTCCATGAAGTTATTCCATATTTGCTTCAAAAACATGATAACACCCATCTGGAGGCAGAGGTCTATCAAACAGCCACTTGGATGACACTGGAATGTAACAATAGAAACAATCATCATCCTGCTCTTCCAAGTTGGCTTAAACACCACCGCCCTCAAATTGAAGTAAGTAAGCATGTAGGAGGACACTTGATGGGGAAGTTTCCAGTAATGATAGTAGAATAGTGATCAAAATTACAACAGCTATAAAAACAAACCTAACATTTATCAAGCACTTACTAACTGCCAAGATCTGTGTTAGGCATGATCACAATTAATAGATGTTATAGAATATTATGTATCACTTAGCAATGAGGTTGTGATACACAGCTATTTAATCATATGGCAAATGTTTATAATATGTTCCTTTAAACAACCTTTTTATTTTAGAATAATTTTAGATTTATAGAAAATTTACAATGATAGTGCAGAGAGTTCACAAACACTCCTCACTCAGTTTCCTCCATTGTTAACATCTTATATTACCATGGTATATTGGTTAAAGCTTAGAAATGAACATTAGTAGAATACTGTTAACTAAATTTCAAACTTTACCTGGATTTCACCAGTTTTCACTAGTGTCCTCTTTCTGTTCCAGGATTCAATCCAGGGTACCACATTGCATTTAGTTGTCATGCGTTCCTAGTCTCCTCTGCTGAGGCTAATTTCTCAGTCTTTCCTTGCTTTTCATGACCTTGACAATTTTGAGGACTGCTGGACAAGTATCCTGTGGACTGTCCCTCAGTTTGTGTTGCCTGATATTTTTCTCACGTTTAGACTGGGATTGTTTTGGGGAGGAAGATCACAGAGGTGAAGGGCAATTGTCATCACATCATATTGGAGGCTACATGATATCCACATGACATCACTGCTTATGTTAACCTTTATCACTTGATTATGTAGTATTTGCCAGATTTTCCACTGTGAAGTTATTATTTTGTTCTTTCCCTATTATATTCTTTGGGGCCCTGATGGCACAGTGGTTAAGAGCTCAGGCTGCTAACCAAAAGATCAGCAATTCAAATCCACTAGCTGCTCTTTGGAAACCTTAGGGAGCAGTTCTACTCTGTCCCATAGGGTAGCTATGAGTTGGAATTGACTCAATAGCAACGGGTTATTATGTTTTTTGGAAGTGAGTCACTAAGTATAGCCCACTCTCAAGATAGGAAAGCGTGTGTATCTTGGTGAAGGGAGTACCTACATTTATTGTAATGTATGTTTAAATGAGAAAAGCACAACCACAATTTTGCCTTCTTTGTGCTTCTTTGCTATTTATATTTTCAATAAAAGTTGTATTAGAAACTCACATAAACAAAAATGTGATTACCATCAAAATTGTAATTGATATGTTTTGCTTGAAAACTTTGCAGGATATAAGTCATAGGGGTAGGGAAATGTGGGTCAGTTTCTTTAGAAATGGGTTCAGGTCCTGCTCTTAAGGATAATGGTCTTCTCTATAGCTTTAAGCCACAGTTTCTATTTCTTTGAAATTGGTACCAGTGGGACTTCAAAGGGAACAAATAATTAGGACACAAAGAGCCTACTTTTCTTGTTCCAGCCCAGTAATTTAAGACTCTAAATGGAGCTAGAGAGTAGGTTTGCCAATAGTCATTTTTATCGTGTGGAAAGGTCTAATTTCTCCCATTCTAGCTTGTTACTTCTTCCTAGGATGAATTTAGGACCCCTGAACTTTGCCATATATGTCCTATAAGTGGGTTCAGTAGAATGCAGAATGATTACTAAGTTAAAGTGGCAGATCACAGATCACAGCTGTAAACGGAAGCTGTTCATTTTATAGAGATACTTAAAGAGGCAAATTGACTTGTTCAAGGTCATGCAATGTTCAGTGGTGCTATGAGAATGAAAGCCTTGGTCTCCTGAACCATTATCCTCTGCTATGTTACATCATACTAAGTATGAATTCTATTTACCAAATGAGTTTGGTGCCTTGAAAGGCTGGATTTAGCCCACGACCACTATTACGTGGGAAGAGAAAAAGAAGACAATCATACTACCATGCAATTGGATCACCCCCAATAAAGATGAGGCCAAAGCAGGGAAGCTGAGAAACAGATTACTTACAATTTTGCTGTAATTGAGCCTTTTGTAACTTTGTGATTTATAAGGAAGAGAAAGGGATATAACAATTTTTGAGGATCTGTCCCCATCTTGGAGTCCTGGTGGCACGGCAGTTAAGAGCTCACCAAAAGGTTGGCAGTTCGCGTCCACCAGCTACTCCTTGGAAACCCTGTAGGAGCAATTCTTCTGTGTCCTAGAGGGTTGCTATGAGTCGGAATTGACTCAATGGCAATGGGTTTAGTTTGATTTTGGTCCCCATCTCACATAAGGGTGGCTTTGAATTAATCCCAGCCTTTCAATACTCTAAATTCCATTTGGTAAAAAGAATCCATACTTAGAATGAGATGAAGGGTAGGAGACCAAGGCTATCGTTCTCATTGAATCATTCAAAATCACATGACCTTAGATAAGTCAAAGCTGGGTACGTTCACATATTTTTCTCATTTACTACTTGTGACAACCTGTTTAACATGAGGGTTGGACAATCAGACTCTAACACTCTTGTTTCTTTCACTTGATCTGCATTGGTATGTTTGCCCTAAATCCTATTTATATGTGTGAGACAGAAGTAATCAGTCAGTAATATCTTCTGGGTGTTTCAAATGGTTAAGTGGTCAGCTGCTAACTGCAAGACTGGTGGTTCGAGTCTATCCAGACTCACCTAGGAAGAGAGCACTGGCGATCCACTTCCAAAACATCGGCTACTGAAAACGCTGTAGAGCACAGTTCTACTCTGACACACATAGGATGGAGAACATCAAGTCGATGGCAATTTTTTAAAAAATATCTTAGCAAAATTGATTTCCATTTTGTCCTCTGTGGTGCCTCTGATATCCCAAACATGGTTGAATAAGCGCAGTGTCAGAGCCTAGACTCTACAGCTAGACTGCCTAGGTTTGAATTTTAACTTCATCAGTTTATTTACTATCTTTCCATAACTGTAGGCAAATTATAAAACCTCCCTATGCCTCGGTTTACTTATCTGCTAAATGGAGGTAATAACAGAATTGTGAGGATTAAATGATTTAATATATGTAGAGCACTTACAAGTAATTGGTGGCAACTAAAAAGCACTCAATAAATGCAGTGGGTATGATATCCTGGGTCACTTGTCCCCTCATCCACTGCTCTTTTACTCTCTAAGTGTAGATTCTTTTTACCAAATGGATTTTAGAGTACAGGTAGTCCCCCAATTTATAATGGCCTTCCGTTCCGACAACTCTGTTACAAGCCAGTTCTGACGTAAGTTGAATACCTCATTTTTTTAAGTTTTCATTATTATTGACTTTTATTATCAGTATTTTCATAAATCATAACATTAAACATCTGCATGTAAACATCTGAGAATGATAGCGTCAGCAAATTACACATTGCAACACTGCTCATAGTACATATTATGAATGATAAGATGTACAAAAAAAAAAAACAGACAGTCGTAAGTGCAGTTCGTCATAACTCAAATATGTTATAAGTCGGGGACTACCTGTATAGAAGAGCTAGATTTAGTCCAAAGGCATCATTACTTGAGAGGGGGGCAGACTCTCAAAAACTGTTGTATAGCATAAGTAAATTTATGTTTGTTTAAATACTGAAAACATTTTACATTAAATTTACATAAAATACTTAAGTGAAATATTATATAACTATTACCTGAGATTCACAAGTCTAGTATAGCAAATTCATAAATATTCTAAACAAAATTATAGCACTTTTTTCTTTCTTTATAATGGCTACCATAAATTATGCCAGGGATGTAACATACACAATCCTATATAATCTGCCTGTCACTAATACTATTGAGATAGTTATTCTTAGTACCTGTTTATAAAAGAAGAAAGTGAGACTTAGAGATATTAAGACCATGCATCTGGGTGGGGCAGAACCGGAATGTATTCTGTTAAACTACAAACACAAACCATTTGTTACATTTCATGGTATGTCCTCTTCTCAAGACTATTAACATCTTCAAGTAAGGGAGAGGGACATCTTCACTGGTATCCCCCATAAAGCCCAGCAGAGATTAGGGATAGGAGGTTTCAATTAATGCTAGTTGACTGAACAAATTTAGAGGATCTCATTCTTATTTTACACATACTTATTTTATACATATTTTGTATACCTGCACTCCTAGGATTTCTCTGGTGGCACAGTGGTTAGGAGTCCAGCTGCTAACCAAAGAGTCGGCAGTTCAAATCCACCAGCTGCTCCCTGGAAATCCCATGGGGCAGTTCTACTCTGTCCTATAGGGTTTCTGTGAGTCGGAACTGACTCAATAGCAATGGGTATTCACAATTCCATGTTTTTTATTTCATGATTTATATACATATTTCTAAATAAATAATCCTTTGTTAGAAAATACGGCCACCACATATCTCATATATGTTATGGACAATGTCTAGGGTGGTTATGAAATCTATTTATGACACCAGTATTATAATTAGCTCCTTGAGACTTTCAAGATGAATCATGACTTTCAAGAATTTCACAATTAAGAGCAAGAATATCCAATTGAGAAAAATTACTGGTGGAAGCAGCTCCTACAATGGCATCAACAGGCAGGTCTTCCTGCCTGTAACTGCTCTGTTCCCTCCCCTCCCCTTTCTAACTCCAGCTGAACATTCCTAGAATAAAGACAGCCTTGGGTCCTAAACTGGGTAGATGAATAGCCTTCAAGCAGAAATAGCTGTAATTCTGGGCCATGAAAGAAAACTGCAAATTGGATTTGGGGACTTCTAAGCTGTCCTGGGGTTATGAAAGGCCTTGGTGTGTCTTTGGCAGACAGAATAATTCCCATGTGCCTGTGGAGACCTTGCACTGACACATATCAGCTACAATTTATAGAGTGCCTACCACATCCAGAGGTGTTACTAGCAGTGTTATGTAAATTATTTCTCGTCTATAAAAAGCCTTGCAATCCAAGTATTACCATTGGCAGTTTACAGATGAGGAAGGAGATATTTCAAGAGGTTAGATCAAGGGCAAAGAATTAGTAAGTGGTGAAGTTAATATTTGAGCCTAGGTTCCTCTGATTATAAAGTATATTATAAAGTTCATAAGAACATTTAGATTTTCTCTGTGTATTCCAATTCATTACTAGAAGGCTCTGGGGAGACCCCCACAAACAAGGTCTCCCTTATTTTGAGAGACTTTTTAGATAGAGATGGGAAATATCTTCCCCTCAATTTTTTCAGGAAATCTTTTCTTAGTCTCTTTTTAAATTACGATCTTCTACTAATTTCACCAGATATTAAAATGTACTTTAAAATATTAAAACAATTTTGAACTAGAGAAGGAACAGACAATCTGACCAATGAGAGAGGATGGAATCCAGAAATAGCCACAATCACTAGATGGATGATATGATAAGTCCAGAATCTTGTCTCACTGAGTAAAAAATGTTTTATTCATTAAATGTATGGCTGCCAACTGGAGGGAGAGGAAAAAAAAAAAAAAAAAAAAGCTTTACTAGTCCTTACACCAAAATAAAATAAACTCTATATGGATTAAAGGCATCAATATTAAAAAATGAATTATAAAATTACTAAAACCTAGACGTGATTATATATATATACATATATATATGTATTTTCTAATTCTAGAATGGTAAACATATTTTGTGGCATGATACAAATCCCCAAAACCATTAAAAATTGTTATTTTTATTAGAAAAAGTTATACATCTCTAAAAAATGTATCATTAAATAAAAAAGATACACAACAAAAGGGGAAAAATATCTGAAGCAAATTTTAAAGATTAGAGGCTAATTTAATTAGCTTACAGATTAATGCCCAAACCCAAAACCAAACCCATTGCTATCCAGTTGATTCCAACTTTTAGCGACCCTATAGACAGATTAGAACTGTCCCATAGGATTTCCAAGGCTGTAAATCTTTACAAGAGCAGTGTGCCACATCTTTCTCCTGAGGAGTGGCTGGTGGGTTAGAACCGCTGACCTAATCACTGTGCCACCACGGCTCCAAATGAAAAACACAGAGAAAAACAGTCCAATCAGAATGGATAGAAACAGTTTACACACACACACACACAAAATATAAAACGGCTAACAAACTTATAAAAAAAAATTCTCAACCTCACTAGAAAGCGAAGAAAATAAAATCAAAATGAGGTCTCTTTTTGATTGTAAGATTGGTAAAAATCTAGATTTTTTGGCTGGTAAAAGTCTAAGGAAGCAGATTCAAACACTATAGGTGATGTGCTGGTATTTTGGAAGAAAATTTGTCAGTCTCAGTGAAAATACAAAATATGCTTACTTGTCTGTGTGCTAGCAATACCACTGCAAGGCTTTTTTTTTTTTTAATATGATATATATTTTTTAAGTCAATAAAGAAATATGAGCGTGAGGCAGATACATTTACATATTTTATATATTGGGGTTTCAAGTAAGATTTTTTTTTGGAATAAAGGTTCCACTGCTTAAAACAAAACCTAATATATTTTAAAGTTTGAAAAACCATGCAACAGATAATAAGAGTTTCCAAAAAAAGGAAAATCCCTGGAGTTAAATCCCTGGGCTACATGAATCGAAGAAACGGATGTGATAGAAAATTAGTGAAAGCTGAGTTCAGATTTTTATTGAAAGATGTAGTTCCTTCATTTTTGAACCCCTAGGAATTCTTCTCTACCAAAAATGTGTCTTCCACATGCCTGAAATTCCCTGTACCACTTTCTCTTTTCTTGTCCCCCACCTCTCTTTGTGCAATCACTAGCCCATATTCATGCCCATCCCCACACCCACCCTCACATGGTTACTTACTTCCTCCAGTCTCCACCGGTTAAAAAGTTTATTGTAATTTCCTGGGTGGCCTACAAATCTGTAAAAAGGTATTTTTAATTATTCATTAACATTTATGTGGGAATGACTGAAGAACATCTTGTAATACATCACAGAAAGTGCATATGTAGGTAGATATAAATGGTCATGAGTGCAACTTGTCCTCAAATGGTTGACTTGACCATGATTACACAACATCAAATTACCTGACTTGAAAAAGTGATGCATGACCTTAATACCAATAGGCTGAGATGGTACAGGCAAAACAACCGGATGACAGTTTCCACTTCCACATGTACAATTTTAATGGCATGTTGATCTAGTTAATAAATATTATAATAATGTGTTAAATCTTTTGGTTCAAAATTTTTTAGCTTCATTATGTTTCCATGGTACTGGCTGGAATCTTCAGCGTATGGCAAACCAGAGTCTTAGGTTCACATTCTTTTTCGTATGTGCAGAAAAGGTAGGAACAAAAGTTAAAATGATGGGTACAGAAGGTCTTTACGCCAATGAAGTATAATCTAGGGATACACAAAAATTCTTTTCTTCATTGACAAAGCTATTTCTGATGATTGGATAGTCACAATTCACCTCAAGTAAGATAAAAAAAAAAAAAAAAAAAACACATTGCCGTTGAGTCAATTCCGACTCACAGCGACCCTACAGAACAGAGTAGAACTTCCCCAGAGATTTTCCAAGTCTGTAAATCTTTGCAGAAGCAGACTGCCACATCTTTCTCCCTCAGAGCGGCTGGTGGGTTCGAACGACCAACCTTTTGATTAGCAGCCAAACACTTTAACCACTGTACTACCAGGGCTCCTTCAAGTATGACACATTGGTTTTATTTTTTATGGCAAATTTCATTGTTAAATTAGTCAAAACAGCCTGGTACTGGTACAATGACTTATACATTGACCAATGGAACAGAATCTAGAACCCAGATGTAAATCCATCTACATACAGCCACCTGATCTTTGACAAAGGCCCAAAGTCCATTAAATGGGGAAAAGACAGTCTTTTTAACCAATAGTGTTGGCAAAACTGGATGTCAATCTATAAACCAATGAACCAGGATCCATACCTCACACCACACACAAAAACTAATTCAAAATGGATCAAAGACTTAAATATAAAACCAAAAACTACAAAGATAATGTAAAAAAAAATAGAGTCAACACTAGGGGCCCTAATATATGGCATAAACAGGATATAAACCATAATTAGCAATACACAAACACCAGAAGATAAGCTAGATAAATGGGATCTTCTAAAAATTAAATACTTATGCTCATCAAAAGACTTCACCAAAGAGTAAAAAGAGAACCTACAGACCGGGAAAAAAATTTTGGCTATGACATATCGACAAAGGTCTAATCTCTAAAATCTATAGGAAAAGCCAATACCTCTACAATAAAAGACAAATAATCCAATTAAAAAACAGGCAAAGAATATGTATAGACACTTCACCAAAAAAGACACTCAGGTGGCTAACAGACATGAGGAAATACTCACGATCACTAGCCAAAACTACATTGAGATACCATCTCACCCCAACATTACTGACACGAATCAAAAAAGTAGAAAATAACAAATGTCGGAGAGGTTGCCGGGAGATTGGAACTCTTACGCACTGCTGGTGGGAATTTCAAATGGTAAAACCACCATGGAAAATGATATGGCACGTCCTTAAAAAGTTAGAAATAGAAATACCATATGCTCCAGCAATCCCACTCCTAGGAATATATCCTAGAGAAATAAGAGCCCTCACACAAATAGACATAGGCACACCCATGTTTATTGCAGCACTGTTCACAAAAGCAAAAAGATGGAAACAACCTAGGTGTCCATCAACAGATGAACAGATAAACAAACAATGGTACATACACACAATGGAATTCTACACAATGATAAAGAACGATGATGAATCTGAGAAACATCTTACAACATGGATGAATCTGGAGGGCATTAATGCTGAAATAAGTCAGCCGTAAAAGGACAAACATTGTATGAGAATACTATTGTAAAAACACATGCAATGTTTCCACACAGAAAGAAACAATCTTCGATGTTTACAAGGGAGGAGAGGGAAGGGAAAAATACTAACTAGGTAGTAGATAAGTGGTAACTTTGGTGAATGGTAAAACAGTACACAATACTGGGTAATTCAGCACAACTTGACCAGGCAAAGTCATAGAAGCTCCACATACACATCCAAATACCCTGAGAGATCGAGCTACTAGGCTGAGGGTTGGGGACCTTGGTCTTGGGAGACATTTAGCTCAACTGGCATAACAGCATCTATAAAGAAAATGTTCTACATCTGACGGTGGTGAGTAGCAACTGGGGTCTTAAAAGCCTGTGATCCACCATTTAAGATACATCTGCTGGTCCCATCCCAGTTGGAGCAAAGGAGAATGAAGACAACAAAAGACACAGGGGAAAGATTAGTTCAAAGTAAAAGACCACAACTACCACAACCTCCGACAGACTGAGCCCAGAACAACTAGATGGTACCTGGTTATCACCACCGACTGCTCTGGCAGGGATCGTAGTAGAGGGTCCCAGACAGAGTGGGAGAAAAATTTAGAACAAAATTCAAATTCACAGGAAAAACGAACAGTCTTGCTGGTCTGACAGAGACTGAAGAAACCCTGAGAATACGGCCCCTGGACATGCTTTTAACTCAGTACTGATGTCACTCCTGAGGTCCACACTTCAGCCAAAGATTAGACAGGTCTGTAGGTCTAACAATAACACACTTGAGGGACGTGTTTCATAGTTCAATCATGTGCATGAGACTAATGGGCACACCAGCGTAAAAACAAAGATAAGAAGGCAGGAAGGGACAGGAAAACTGGATGAATGGAAACAGGGAACCTGGGGTGGAGAAGGGGAGAGTGTTGACATATCATGGGGTTGGCAACTAATGTCACAAAACAATTTGTGTATTAAATGTTTAATGAGAAACAGTCTGTGTAAACTTTTACCTAAATCTCACATACACACACACACACACACACACACACACACACACACACACGCAAAATCATTGGTAATTGTTGCTGGAAGACATGTACTGAGAAGTCTTCTGAGTCAGAACATGTATGAAGACGACTACCAGAGTCTTCCAGGGCAGGGAGAATTTGCCACTTCTATTAGCTAATTGGTGATGGATTAATCGTCACATTTTTTCACTTTGCAGACATAATGTGTATGAAAGGTGACTTACCTCCCCAAAAAGAAAGCAATATAGAAGATAGAACTGTTTAAATTGACAAACTGGAAGAGGAACATCTTCAGAGCAAAGCTGTTTTCCCATTCAGATTCTGTTCGAGGATATTCTGAAAGGAGCATAGGATGTATTTACATAGATGGGGTGAATAATAAGGACACTGGACCTGGAAACAGCAAGTTCTGCAGGATTTTATTATTTCTGCAAGCCACTTAATATCTCTGATATCTACTGTCTGCATCCAAAAAATGTGAATAATAATATCTGTTGTACAGGATTGATGAAAGTTTCCAATTAGATAATCTTTAGAAAATGTTCCAATGCTACAAAATTATGGTGCCTGTTATTAGTATATAAATATTTTAAGGGTTTTCTTTGTTATTCTCAATTACAGGTAACCATAAATATTGCATCAATCCTTCTCCCCAAGAGACTATGCTCAGTACAAGATCCCACTGCCGTCGATTTGATTCTAACTAATGGCGACCCCATGTGTTACAGAATACAACTGCTCTATAGGGTTTTCTTGGCTATCATTTTAATGGAAGCAGATCTTCAGGTCTTTCTTCTGCAGCACTGCTGGGAAGGTTCGTAACTTCTTTTAGGTTAGTAGCCTAAGTGCAAACTATTTGCATCACCAAAAGATCTTCATGCTCAATACATGAAACCTAAATTGTCAACAGAATTCTTTGAAGTGATGGGTTAATTTCTAAGAAATGGAACAAAGGAACGAGGGCTAGGTCAGTCAGAAGAACTGAGTTTTTATCACAAACTTATACCTAACTTGCAGGTAATCTCAGGCAGATCTTGTCACTTTTTTTTTTTTTGGTGAATGTTTTGTCATTTATGAAATGAGAGACTTAGACAAGATGCTCTCCAAGAACACTGTAACACTCACATTTTATGGTTCTATCATAAATAAATAAATAAAATGAGAGGGATTGGATTAAGATGACAGCAAGTACTGCAATATTCTGCTCCCCAGTATCCAAAGAAATAAGAGAAAATACATACGCACACCACGTATTTTTAATATGACTGAAGAATTCAATAAAGGAATAAAATAGATGATATCTTATCTAAGAAAAACACAGGCCAACATGTATGCACAAGGCCAATCATGGAATAAGGAGTGAAGAGATCCTGGGGAACTCCAAGGTCAAAAGTGGTAGGTGTAAGAATCAGGAGGTGTCCTTGGCACATCTGAAAGAGTGACTCGTTGATGTGCATCAGTAGGAGTGGTCAAGGGAGTTGACTTTCTCCACAGCTTTTGATATGTTTTCACTGTCGTTTCTTTCTAATAGTTTTCATTATTTATTTTTTTACTTTCTTAACACAAATTTATTTGGAATAAAGTTTTTGTGTTTTTTTTTTTTTTAAATTCCTACTGTGTAGCTTGGTTTTGGCTCCCCAATTCTAATTTTATTGCATCATGATCCATAAATGTATCCTGTATGATTTCTGGCTTTAATAATTTCTCAGTCTTGTAGAGAAAGAATACACACATACACACGTACCCACACACACATCCCAGAGCAATGTAATAAGTGTAATAATGACAAGAATCTCAAACTGCTAAGCGAACATGAAGGATGATGGATTGTGAAGCCAACAAGGTTTCACAGAGGAGGTGACTTTTGAACTGAGGAAAGGTGACTAAGATTTTATTGAGGAAAATCATCCTAAGTAGAATAAAGGTTAAAAACCAACTTCGAAGTACGGTGAGAGCCATTCTATTGCTTTATGTATTCTGACAATGAAGATTACAATGTTCCCAGCAAAAAGGCATTTTACTAGATGTGAAAGATTGGTACATTGGTGGCCCTTATACTGGTAACCCAGTGAACAGCACCTCCCAGTATACATGCCCTGGTGTAGCTGCCTCCCACTTCAACTCTGGGCGTGGCCATCAGGACACTAGCAAGCAAGATGCAAGCAGAGGTTTGATAAGCACTTGTTTACAGTGGCATGGCCTCTTGGAAGTCAGCTGCCATATAAGAAGTCCTACTACACAACTATGAGCAAACCCAAGTTAGCCATGTGGTGAGGCACATGGAGTAAGAGAAAGGACAGACACTAGCGGTCCCCACAATCCCACATGAGGTGTCAGACATGTGAGTGGGAAAAGTCATCTTGGACATTCCAGCTCCAGTAGATACTACACAGAGCAGGAAAAGCACCTAGTGGGGCTTATCTCAGATTACAGAATCATGAAAAATAATGAATTGTTGTTGTCTTAAGCCAGTAAGCTTAGAGTGTGATTCATTATACAGCGATAGATAACTGAGACAATGGAGTTTATTGTAATAATGCCAACCTTGAGGTTTAACACAGTTTCTATACTAAGGTAAGCAAACTTTTATTTTTCAATGTAGTATGTCATTCATACGTACATTGTGGCTTATTTTGAATTGGTTCTCAGAGAAGGGAAATTCTGAACTTTGAGAAAAAATGATGCTGTTTTCTAGGGTGTGTATTTCTAGTCAAAATATCTTTCCCTAGTAGAGCCAGTTATTGATAAAAAGCCAGTTATTCTACAAGGTCATTTAGTCACAAATTAGGTCCTTATATTTTTACTATTAATTCCCTGTTCCCTAAAATTAATAGTGTGTTTAGTAGTTTTGATATCTGACAGAGTCAAAATTCTTTTATCAGTTGGCTTAATTTATCCCTATTAGCCCAGATTTATCTTAAATATAGAGAGGTCATTATTATAGATAATTCATTGTTGGAAACAACTAACCGTGATCCTGATTTAATTATCAACAAAACCAAAGTGAAAAAATATTGCTTTGGATCAAATAATATATATTTTTCTTCATAATAAGAAAAAATTATGTGATAGAATTGAAACTTTGTTCTTTTTTTTTCTTCATGGTTTTTGAAAATAAGATATTCAGACAAAAAAAGAAATCAATAAAAATAATGTTAAAAAATCTTAATAAAATAGTATATTACTTTTTTTGGGAAATAAAATCTACTTTCTAATTTGAAGTATAAATTAGCATACCCAAAAATTAAATGGAATACATGATGTATGTATGCATGTATGTATATATATATGGATATGTGGTTAAGAGTTCGGCTGCTAACCAAAAAGACTGCCATTCGAATCCACCAGCTGCTCCTTGGAAACCTTGTGGGGAAATTCTACTCTGTCCTATAGGGTCCCTATGAGTCAGAATCAACTCAACGACAATGGTTTTTTTTGTTTTGTTTTTATAAGCATATACATACATATGTGTATATATATATATATATATAAGCCCTGCTGGCTCCATGGTTAAACGCTTGACTGTTAACCAAAAAGTTGGTAGTTTGAATCCACCAGCAGCTCTGGGGGGGAAAAGACCTGGTGATCTGCTCCCGTAAAGATTACAGCCTAGGAAACCCTCTGGCGCAGTTCTACTCTGTCCTGTAGGGTCACTATGAGTCAGAACTGATTCAATGGCACACAACACGTGTGTGTGTGTATATATATATATATA